TTGTATTTGGCATTTCCAAACTTTCAGATGTAAGTGCGGATTCGGAAAATTTACCTCATTTTCAAATAAATTAAAATATGTTCTAGAAAATATTGAAGCAAAGTTCAGATAGACAGCACTACAACGCCGCAACGAACTAGACCGATTTAATACTACCAGTCCCGCAAGGAAACTTTGGAAACAAGCCACCGCATAACTTATACTGATAGACTTTAACTACGACAGAATGCCAAATGACTTATAACCCAGGCCCTGCAAGGGAGGGTAAGTAATAGTAATTTTAAAATCATAAGCCAAACAAAGATCACTCGCGGATACCTGCACAGACCTCGAAAAGTACAGGGTGGAGCAAGCCTGATGTTTTTGCGAAAAATTTTTAATCTGGTCTATTCCGACGTCGAGATTCTACAGTCGCTCAACACCATATGAACCCAGTTTGTTCTTATCTTTCACTGTCGTTATAATTCGACCCTCATGGTAAGCATAAAAACTGAACTTAAAACTACATTACTTACCCAAAGTCCAGTAAGTCCTTATACACACTCGGAATATTGCATTCAGCATCTCGATACATAAAAATCCGCATTTCAGGAGCTATCATAGGTACAGAACATACATGTGACAAAAGTTACCCAGGAATCTTCGCTTCATCATTCGCGGCCACAATGAAACAGGAGCTGCGCTTACTTAGGCAAGACCTTGGATGTGCAAAGTTTGCATCTAGGCAAGAAGAGTTTCCTCCTTGTTTCAGATAAAACTAAAATTTCCTCTTCCATCCATATCCTGTCATCATCAGTCGGCGTTTTTTCCTTATAGGCGTGTGGTTTTACTGCCACAGGGAAGTAGGCCGAAGACTGCCTAGGGAGGAATATTATGAAAATCTTATTTACGATTTCTGTGCCGTTTTATGTTAGCTTTTCAGTATATGTGAGTGGAGAAGAGTTAAACTTGTGTCCCTTTGCATAGTTATGCCGATTATTTAGGTGTGAATCCGTGGGCATGAATGAGATGAGACAGCGCAAATGTCTGCGGTTTGGTGTTAAACAACGAGCGTTGCAGAGGAACTGTTGAAATAACGAATACTGCTTTAACACGCGACCCTACACAACCGATTCAATTTAGCTTACCATGACTGGCAACTTCACAAACAATGAGATAGCATCGGCTGAAATGGATAAGGTTCTGGGGAAAAGCCAGATTTTGCTTTAATCACGTTTTCGCAATAAGCTCATGTCCATAGATCAGAAAAAGGTATTAGATTCAATTATTCCAGTTTAGATGACTTTAAAATACGTAATGTACTCGTTTAACTTCTTCCTGTACAATATCTGTACACTGTTGCCTTTGAATTCCATTGTGAACATGTAAAAATATTAACAGTCCAAGTATGCGAGTTTGTGCAACAACGATATTTGTAAAACGCTGGTGACTGACTTGATCTTATTAACATCACGGTATAATGATGGTGCGCAAGCAACCTTTGTCTTTTGTAATCATTTGGTTCAATGGAGGCGGTTTCGTCTTATCCATACGAATGCGTTCAAATACTGGTCCTAAAACTTTACGAACATAAAGGATTTTTCGCGGATAGAAGTGATACTTTTCAGATTATGTTTAGTGCATACTGACTAACTGCAGCTAGAATTGTTTAGGATTGCGAAATTATGATCGCCCATAAAAAAGGGTTTATGTAGTGGATTTTAGATTTTATCATTTAAGGAAACTCTTATTTTTGTCATCTTCTTGCGAACTGACAAGATTCTGTCTCACTAGGGAACATTTATGCACAGTTATAACCCAAGAAGCGCTTCTCTACATCACGTAAGTAGTTTTCAATTGAATATGTAGGCATTAGATAAGTATTCGACATTTCACTATGCCTTACGGGAGGTCAACAGAAAATCTTATTCAGATCTTACCTATAATTGCAGTCGATCACCAACATAGGGTTTTTTTAGTACCCGGCTCTTTTATGAGGCGGAGGCAAGAGCGCTATACGTTCTGAGTTTTCGACACTTCATCATCTGGTTGCTTGCTTTTTTTATTGTGCGGGTTCAGTTTCCGACTCCAGAGTCCTGATGAATGGCACGTAGATAATGGTTTATAAGTCCTCTGAAAGTTTAGTCTAACCTTTATGACTGAAGTTTCCGATATATTCGCTCTCTCCACACGTTGACTGCATGCTATAAAATTCGTTAGACGTTCTTCTGATATGCTCATGCGAGTTTGAATGACTGAAGGACGGACCAAATTAAACCGAAATAAAACTGCTCTCAACAGAAGTGCACCTGCTTGTACTTACACGCTTAATCAGGCAAATGGACGGTTCTCGTGCGAACTTTATCACCACCAAACGGCCCTGGCGAAAATGTAAATAATCAGAGTCGAGCTTCAGTCCAGTGACCCCTGAACATAAGGCACACATCCGCCAGCCAAGTTTGCTTACTCTGTATCGTTCGGTTTGAGTTTTAACACGCGCTGTCTCTCTTTTAAATCAGCCACTGACTATTTTCATAAAGGCGCCAACTGCATTTGTGCGGCTTTCGGAATCGGAACCCTAACTTAACCCACTGTCAAACGCTGTTAGGCACCTTTGTCGGTAAACAAACGGCGTTCCTCTACAGTGAAGTTATACAGGAAGAATTCGATATAAAACGGCAGGTTTTTTTGAAGTCTAATGGTAAACCGCCAGCTAAGACTGTGAAGGTGCATTTTTGACTTCAGATAGTGCATCGAATGTTTAACTGTAGGCTGAATAAGTACGTTTGCCCCTACGAGTTCCGCGTTCTTCTAAAAAACAGCGCATTAAGAAGTAGACGCGATCGCTGGGGCGAGAGTTTTGTTCGCTGAACGTTTCGAATCCATGCTTAAACCCATCATCTGGGATAGCGTCAGATACGAGTACTTTATGCACAGGGGATTTCGGTAGTTAGTGGACGCTACCACATACCTAGCAAAATTAGCGGCTACCCCTTTCATCGCAGACTGTTACCTTTGATGTTATAATGGCTCGCTGACCGGCCCGCGAGTTGTTAATCGCTGCAATTTAATTACTCCCTTTGGATATTGACGGGACGATTACGCTACCACCTGACTCACCGACACTGACGTTGGGTATCGTGTTTGCCTACGCGCTTCCCGTGTGGCTAATTACTCTGCCCAGGCTGTCTCAGCACCGATCACGGAAAGGGGGAGTCATTGCACTTGTTAATAGACTGGGGCCAGTGAACCATGACTCAAGCAGCTCGTGACTCAAGCAACTGCAAATTCTCGTGAGAATTTCGGCCTCTACGAAAATGAAAGCGTGGCCGGGTCCCGTCAAATGAACCGCGATGTGGAGGCTGGCGTCGCTTCTCCTCACTGCTGTCTTGTATCCGGCGCTTTCTGTCAGTTGTTCCCGGACTTTCAACGCCCTTGAACCCTGCATCCCTCTCCAAGGGCTTTAAGTTGAGAGTTCGCAAGTAGAACAGTAATTTCCTGTGCGAAAAGTACGTTGGTCGACACTGTTTTTCAATAGTATTAAAAGGCATGTCAAATGCGCCTCGTCATATGACAGAAAAAGGTTCAAGGTAGCAATCTCATGGGAACTAACTCCGGAATACCAGAGACACGCATTAACATTTGGACAGCAAACGAAGCTCTGGTTGTCGAATGGGGTTTATTCCATTCTTTTTAGAATGTTTTGAAGAAAGAGCAGGTATGAAAGAGAGGAACGCTGGCTATGTCTGGTAAATGGTATGAAAAATTGAACTCCATTGAACTATTCCTTTTCGTTTCCTCAGGAAATGCGGGGTGCTCAGCTGGTAAAATACTCACTAACTCATGGAAACTATAAGATGAAAAATCTTCAATCGGATAGATTTTCGAAGTGGCGGAAGCTTGATCCGTGTCTACGCCTTTAGAATACGTCAGTCAGCATTTTCCTGTTTAACCATAGGCCGCAATAATTAAGGTGCTTCGCCATCAACAAACATTTTCGTTTACAGTCTTCCCAGGGACTCAAGTTGCCGTCTGAAAAGATCCTTAAAAACGAATAAAAATATCCGCTTAGAAATGTAGAAACGACCAGAGTCGACTATTATTATCCTAACAAGTTATGCGATGTCGTGACATTTTCCCTTTCGTAGCAGAGCATTTTAATTTTGCCGAAAGAGGTGTCTGTAAACATTTTGTTCATCGTAAATTTTTTCATTTTGTAGTTTCAATGTACAAGAAAGGCATTCTTGACATCCGTTCATGCTCGTGGAAATTATATCAGGCAAAAATATTCTTGTTACTTTTTAATGTTCCTGGTACAAAGCAACGCATATAAAACTAATCGAAGAATCGGTCGACCTTACTTTAGAAAACCATAAGGGCATATAAAGAGAGACTCTAGCTGTCCAATCCGCCTATTTTGCTAGGTTATGGCGGATAATTTGATCGGTTCTGCGACGGCATCTTAATTGGAACATAGTCAACTGCTAATGGTTCGCGGCTTCGCACTTAAATCAAAAACTACCTTAAGAGCCCAGGTTAGTTATCCGTAGGCAATCACATGGACACCAGCGAGGAGCATTACTGTGAAGATTAACGTGCTTCAAAACCAATACTTGCCTGATGATAATAACTCTCGACATTTTGTTCTGAGTTAAATTACTGCACTACCTCATAGTTCATACACATTATCATTCTGAGCCGAAAACCATTTTAACCATGCCTTTTTATTCATCCCAATATAAACGGCAAAAGTCTGGGTTGGTTGTGTCGCTGGTTTTAATCAAAAAACGTCACAACGTACAGAAGCACTGAATGACCAAACACAAAGGTTGTATCTGCTTACTCGGCGAGATTCCGTTGCAAAATGTATAAATCTGTTTACAGAATGCCTCTACGAATATCATACTCAAGGACAGACAAGGGAAGCAAAAAGAACTTACAGTGAATAAAAACTGCTGAAAATACGAATTTTCATTGCATGGCTCTAAAGAAACATGTTTGAGAGAACAGTTCGATCATTATCACACTGACCACTTTTTCTGAAAGAAGGCTCCCGCGTAGACGGCTGACTCGCCAAGTTCTTCCTCGATCCGCAAAAGTTGGTTGTACTTCACCAGTCTCTCTGATCGACTCGGAGCGCCCGTCTTGATCAGCCCTGTATTTAGTCCAACTGCCAAGTCAGCAATGAACGTATCTGCGGTCTCGCCAGAACGATGCGAAACCATAACGGGCCAGTTAGCCTTTTGGGCTAGCTTACAGGCCTCGATCGCTTCTGTCACGGAACCGATCTGATTCACTTTCAAGAGCAAGGCCGTGCAAGCCTTTGTGTCGATTGCCTTTTGTACTAGTGCTGGATTGGTTACCAGAAGGTCATCACCCACGATCTTAGTAATAGGGGAAAAAATAATTAACTTAGGTATGCAGTCGAGTCGTAGATTTCCGAAAGACATATTTTCGTGCTTCAAGGAAACTAGAGCAGAAAGAAAATACAAACATAATAAGTAATCACCTGAACAGTGCTCTTTGCTGTGTATTCCCGAAAGGCAGTCCAATCCTCTTGGTCAAATGGATCCTCGATCAGAACGACGGGATACTTTGAAGTCATCTCTGTGTATATATTGGACAATTGTTCGGCAGTTAGCCAAGATGATTCTTGAGAATCAACATTCTTGAAGTCGAGGTCGTACCTCCCTGCCTTATAAAATTCGGATGCTGCTGCATCAACACCGATCTTAATGAGGCCAGTGTAACCCGCCATTTCAATGGCTTCTTGTATCAAATCCAAACCTTTATAAATAAAGTGCACGCAAAGACTTTTAGTCAGAAATGCACTTATTGCAACTATGGGGAAAAAAACGGGTCCCATTATTATCTACAAAAAACGTTTGATGGTGTCTAAACTGGAACCGACAGAGGGCATATTCGGACTAAATTCTTGGCAAATTCCGCCACGAAAGACTCCACTGCCAATGAATAAATGTACTAAGTGACCAAAGATCTTCGCGCTGTTTTCATTAGAGTTCGACGGAACGGCCTGTTGAATCTTGTTTAGACTTCCCGGACACATGTATCATCCAGCGCAGATAGTTTACGATTAAATGAAATACCTTTCAATGCTTTATCCCCTGGTTTGTGATTTTCATCCACTTTTAAACGTTCATGGAACTAAGTGCAAATCAGACGTGTCTGTTTTATGAATTTGATCTTGAACCGAAGACTGTTGAAGCATGTGTTAAGACGTAAGTAGCATTTGAAAGACATACACCAAAAGAACCAACTTCTTAGAGATGATTTAAACTTTCTCCTAGTAATAGATGTCTTGAGAAGGTGTCACGTCTAGGAAGAGCCTCCGGCATTGTAACAAAGGATTATGTGACACTGTTGAAAACATTCGAAGATAACGTCTCAAGAACTCTTCAAAATATTTAAACTGAGTGAAGGAAAATCCTCCAAAATGTTCCTCAACTGAAAAATGGTGCCGGCTGATCAAACGGGCCTCACGCACGCAAAAAGATTGTAAGTAAACATATCATTCTTTGACTGTTTGCATTCCTGTTATAAAAAATGATGCCAACCGAACCTCTCATTGGATATCATCAGCTGCTCCAGTACCCCACACTTCAAAGGCACCGCCTCAACGCCAGAAGATTTTTGATGTTGTATGGTGGATTGCGTCTGATAGTGTCCATTAAGAATTTATCAACAAAAGTCCAAACAATTGCGGGCAGGGTCTACTAAATGTAACTTGACGTGTAAATTACGCGTTACTTCGGAAATAGCCAGTACTAGCCAAACGGATGGGAAAACATTTCTTTCAAGATAGTGCCAAATATTTGAGATAATTTTGAACGTTAAGATTAAAAATGTTACTTCACTCCCCACAGTCTCTTGGAATTTCCCCAACCGTTTATAAAGCTGTATTCACTAGACAATCATATGCGCAATAAATGACTTCACAATAAAGGGGAGATTGAAGTGGAGTTCGTTTGATTATTTGGTTTTAAAGACATCATCTTCCAAGAAAACGGGATTTACAGGTCCTTATCTTGTCAGTAAAGAGTTGAAGACTGTTAAAATGATTATTTGAATGTGTTTAATTTTTTTGAAGGCTTCTGCTCTTGTTTGATGAGTAATATTTAAAAACAACACGACTATTTTTGGTTATTTGATAGCGAGTGAGAAATCTGATTGAACAGAGCATCTAGCGAATGCTGAGAATTTGCACTGATGTTCGCTGTCGCTTCAATCGGTAGAGATGAACAGATAGCAAAAAACCGGGCGATTAATCTACGTTTGTCCCCACTAGTAAAAGTGGCAAATAAACTGCAATCTCCTGAGCGCTAATGATATCCGACATCAGTATACTTCTAAAACAACTAAGCCCTCGGAAACCGTGGAAGGGCCGACAATTGATATCGAGAATGTGGGAATTTGCGATGTAACATAGATTATCTCAGGAAGCTCAGTTAATTCCGTGTCGCTATAGAGACATAAACTGTTCAATAAAAACCGTCTCAGCTTATCTGCGAGTCAGCAACTCTTATTCTCGTCATTGCTATATCCTGTACACTTGGTTAGTGTCGCCATAGGTTCGAGAAATCCAAGGTGTTTTTAAACGTATCAGGTCAAAAACTTAAAGACAGAATTGTTGTGTCGCTTCAACAATGAAAATTTGTGCGCATTCTAAAATTTCCGTCGCATTCTAGTGATGGCTGGAACTCAATAGATAGGGTCCCATCAAATCCAACATAATTAAGACAGCTGAGCCAATAGAACGCCAGAGCGAAAACTTTTTTTGATAACTAGCTTCAGCTGGTTTGATCATATAATGAGAGCTCTATGTCAAGGAAAAACCCTAGTCGACGACCATCTTACTTTCCAAGCACCGAGGGACTACATATTTCCTAGTTAAATTCAATACTTGCGAAACTGTCTCCAGCAGTCGTCAAAGTACCGCCTCCTGAAGGACACCATTTATTTACTTTAAACAGTGTTATTTAAGAAACAGCTCATGGTCTATTTTCGTTGTGGTTGAACACGGGAGTCTGCGTCTTCCCCAATTGCAGGTGGCTTTGCCCATATTCCAGGAGGTTAGGGCTAGAGTCAGGGTTGGGTACGGTTACGGTTATGAGAGCTAGTGTTAGGGCCAGGGTAAGGAATGAAGTTAGAACACGGAAATAGGTTCCCCTGGAATTAAGCAAGAGAGCACGTGTAGCAGGGGGGGGGTCCATATCCCCCCCGCCGGCCGACCTCACTTACTGTTTGAAACGTCATTGTCCTGGCACTTTGGAGGATAATATGTGCCTTATAAACAAAAAACAGTCTTAGCGCACTCCCAACACAGGTGTTAACCATTAACCAAATGGAGAGCTAGAGGCATTCAAGCTGCGTCGCCAGATCGATGGCCTAAGATATTACGGGCGCAACGTGGATGATATATTCGCGATTGCACCTGAGCAAAACGACGTTTCGGGCCTACTGGACGCTAGCAATAGGGAGCACTCATCAATCAAATTCACGCTGGAAGAACAAAAGTCCGAATCGCCCCCCTTTTCGGATGTGCTTTTTGGTAGAAGCCCTGACGGTAGTATTCGACGTAGCGTCTATCGTAAGAAGACGTGGTTTGGGCAATACACCAGTTTTGGAAGTTTCGTACCGCTAAACACGAAACACAATTTAGTTCGTTGTCTAACACACAGAGTAAGGATTATCTGTTCGGCTGATAGCATTGATGAAGAACTTAAGATTGTCGAAAATCTATTTCAACAGAACGGGTACCTGATCGAGTAATTGCTAAGTACATGACCGAAAAACCACCAAAGCCCCCAAGGCTGACGGCAGAAAAAAGAAGCTTTTTATCAAAGTCCCGTTTCAAGGGGATGCGCCAAGTGAGCTTCTAAGAAGGCGACTAACTCGAGCTATATCATGCACCTTTTCAGCAGCCGACGCCCGTTTACTCTTCTCCACTGGTCCTATCCTATACGGAGAGGGCAAGAACTGCCAGGCCAGACAAGCTCTATGTGTATTTACTCCCTCACCTGCTCCTGTGGGGCAGAATATATTGGTCGTACGAGTCGGCGTCTGTCAAAAAGAATAAGAGAATGCCTTCCGGCATAGTTAGGAAAAGGCCAAATAAAGAACGTCAAGAGCCCTATCCTCGCGCATATGACAGACGCGGATCACCGTGTAGATTCCGGACGGGTCTTCAGGATGGTTTACAAGTTACAGTCAAACTATACAAAATCATTTGGGGCGCGTCCTTTGACAACGGCAAAGGCGGCTGCAATCAGGTTGCGCAACCAATTCGTATGCGCTCAGAAGACCTCCTTACGGGCCCCCCAGTTACCATTACTCAAAACCACCAAGCCAGCCACCCGCATATAATTAATTACCTGTCCCAGTGCCCACCATTCTCCTCCCCTTTATTTTGGCGGTAATTTTGCTCTTGGTTTCATCCAAGGCCTCGAACCCCAGCTACAGAATAACGTCTACTTGCCCGCATGTTCTTATTAATCATTTCCACAGCAACATAAATTCAAAGGCCTAAAGAGAATTTATCGAAAGCTGGCGTTTGCTTGCCAAATTGTCCTTTACAAAACCTCACGAAGGTTTCATTGTCAGGTCAGTCAGAAAATACCAATTTACGATTTTTCAGTTCGAAGAAACTCATACTGAAGCTGTCAGATATCTGTTTAGTACCGGAGTGGATTTCGGACAAACTTGCGTATGGAAATTTAACTAGCAACTATGCTGAAAGCAGGTTGAAATTTATCTCAACGACATATACTACCACCAAGTGGCTTGACTTAGACCGAATTTAGTAGTTTTTACTTCAAGTAGTTACGTTAAAGCGTATAACCAAGCACTTAAAGTCCTTTTAAGGCACAACTAGACCGTAGCCGCCCACGTTCGTTAAAGGTAACCGAGTCTTTTTAGTCCTTCGTTTTCCATCCGCCCAGTTCTTCTGCCACACTGATGCCACCGCTGACCTCGCTAAGGCCTTTTCTATCCTTCAACACAAATCCACACCTTTGACCCAATTAAAAACAAACTGTTTCGCCCAATCCGCGAGCTTTTGCCTATTGAAAACGTGCGATGCAATCTGGAAAGCTAACTATTTGTACAAACATAGTTGCTTTAAAGATAAATTAGTGAAATTGGTCGTTCACGGGTGTCTTCTTCTCTGTAGGTGGTTGTGCTAACAAAAACAGCAAACTGTTGATAGATGCCCTTCTGAACTCTGCATAAAATTTCGAGGAGCCATGTGATGTTTTCCAACTATTTATTTGTCCGAGCAAAATAATGTTGAGGTTGTGGATCATCTTCAACACGGAACATTTTACCAGTCCTATCACAAGGTTTTTGTCCAAGGTAACCTGCAGATGCCTGTGAAGTTACGCTAGATGTGTGATGGTAATTCGTTTTGCAAGCAAATCTTTCCTGTCAAACTTGGAAAATTCCATAAAGAGGGAAAGTGGACAACGCTGCAACCCCCAAGTACCCCAGCAACGGTGTTGGCTCTGGGCCGAATAACCAATCAATGCAACCTATTTCATGACCTGTCAACCAAAATTCTGAAATGTAATTTCCACTCAAAAATATGTCTCAAGTAGGGTTGAATATTAACTGTCATATAGCACAATCCTATGATATTTCAGTCACATTAGGATCTCGACTTTTAAATAAATTCCTGTCCAGCCGTCTACAAAAACTACGCTCTGTAAAAAAAACGACTACTTATTTAGTAAGAATTTTTCCCATTGACTTCTGATGCTCCTATAAATTCAATTAAATTCTCTAGAAAACGCATACAAAAACATTCGCCTATCCTTGTGGAAGAAAACTGCTTCTTCTAATTTTCTACTTGAAGAGAGAGTATCTTTAGGTTCTAAAGATGCTTCTAACTGTGAGTTTTTTCAAGGCCATGAACTTCCCATTCATGCAGAATTGTATCAGCGTGCTTATTGATGCTACGTATAAAATACACAACCTGGCCGACATCCACTTCCCACTTTTATGAGTCCTACATGACGTCTTCTTAACAGCATAGAGAAATGTGTGATATTTCTTTGACGGAATGTGTACAGCATGTACTTTGGAAACCCTGAATGCAGTTGTAACAAAGGGTGGGACAAGAAAATATTCGGGAACTGAAAAGTTTTTAAAAAATCAAAAGATACTCTCTCTTAAAAAAGATGATTGGGAGAGGACTCAATTCTCTACCAAATGAGTACAAGAATGAATGATTGTGTGCATGTTTCTCATATAATATACTTAACTTCATAAGGACATCGAAAACCAATGGGAAAAATTTACACCACACAAGTCGTCATTTTTACAGAGTGTAGTTTTTGCAGACGGCTTAAAAGAAGCTTATTTAAAAGTCCGCATCCTGGTGGGACTAAAATATTGTAGGAGTACGCTGCACGATAACTGATATTGCAAACCTACATAAGTAAATTTTTTGAATCAAAAACAGATTGAAAAATTTCGGTTAATATGGCATGAGATAGCTCATCTAATGCACATCCGACCAGTCCAGTGCCCATGTTGACTGAATAATCTAACCAACGGCTAATTGTCTCATTTTTAACTTATCAGCTCTATTCATAGTAATTTTTGTATTTATTTTAGCGAGCGTGGAGTTTTTATAGGTACTTGCCGTTCTGCGACTGAGGAAAGTTTAGATCCTCAATTATAATCATGGGCATTTTAAAGCTGCCACAAAGTGGTTCGAAAAGCATTAATGGACATGTCACAAGAGACAAGGGACCCACCTCTCTTTAACCACACTCGGCTCGGGGACGTTCCTGTCTTTCATGCGACTACCGCTATGTTCGAAAAAAAAAGTTATTGCGCCGACACGATACACAAGGGGCACAGGGTGCATGACCACTCATTCCGTTGTGCTTTAGTGCTCAATCTAGAATCCCACAAGCAGGAGTATAATGACTAGTAATGTATGCAATGGTTAGAGCGTCGAACTAATAACTAAAACAGCACAGGCTCGAACCTCAGAGGTCCCCAAACTTGGGATTGGATAAGGCAGGCCGAAGACTGCTAATAAGCTAGAAGCGGTCATCCTAGTCTCCTGTCTCTGTAGTCTAATATTTTCTTGATTGAGTAAAAACTTTTGTCTGTACATCTTGCTTAATTTTGGCGATAATAATCTCCATGTTTTTGGAAAACAAGTGTACACATTACTTTTTTAAAGCGTTGTCAGCACATCCAGTTTTTCCTGGTTCACTAACTGCAGTACTTGGAGACATGACTTAGTCTTCAACGAAAAAACGGCCAGATTAAAATATAAGGGAAACTCTCTAGTTGTATAAAAGCCTGCAAAGAACAGCACGTTATCTAGCAGGAGTTATCAAGCATGCATTATCTAGCACGTTATGCAGCAGCTGACATATTTCCCTAGCTTTATGGGGCTCAACCGAGTTTTATGTAATTGTCCTGAATCGGCTGTTAGAGCCACGCGGATAAGGTTGTACTTTTAGCTCCAGATTTGACTTAAAACCATCGTAAACAAAACGCATACGGCCGACCGCTGCTTGATAACAACCGTGGTCATACAGTGATCATTGTTTTATTAGTTTAAAGCTGTTGTGTATGGAAAAGAAAATAAATTATGAAAGGGACAGTGTTCTCTAGCAAACGGGTACGGGTGAATCTCTTGCTATTTTGCGGGATTTATTAGTGGTGGTAATGTTTTTTTCTAGTTTATGGAGAGCATTCGCAGTCAGATGTTGATCAGGAATTCGTATGTGCGCATAGGCATATTTCATTAGTTCGGATTTTAGTGACTCATATTTTTGAAACTTAACCGAGACGTAATTTTGTGAGAGGCTTAAAAAGAAACAGCAAGTGTATAACTAGAATTATTGCAAGTTCTGAGGCAGTAAATGTTAGTGTTTATGTTTTTTGTGGAAAATTTGGGAGTTTTTGTCTACTTGTGTTCTATAAATTTACATAGTCTCTAAAATGCCCTTGCATAAATCCGATAGAGTTGCTCGAGTTAGTCATTTCTGGAAGAATGGGAGATAACTTTAGTAAGCCTATGAAATACGAAAACGTGAACCATAAAAAGGCATTGAAAATGTAATTATCCTCTCTGTTTTGGTAACGGGTCTGTGTAGCTTTTGTTCATATCTAAGACGATTGCCGAAAAAGTCAGATGTTAAGTATCTATTGGGCATAAACTACCGCACACTATGCGGTCCTGTCTAAGGAAGAATACGCCGGAATTCCAAAAAGGTATTTTACACGCTACGGCTATTCTTCAGGCATGTGCGCAGATGTAGAAAACGGTATGAAATTTTACAGTATTACGACATGGAAGTTTCAAACAAGGTTTTCCTACAAGTCCCGGTGGAAAAGCTTTTCCGATTTCTAAATAAATATAGCCTGATGTTATGCTACCGATATTGCAGAGTCTCTAAGATTCGAAAACAGCTCAATTTCTTTGGAGATTGGCGAAATTTGAGCAGGACACCCGTTTATGCGTCTGATGAGTAATCGTCTGGTCTCTGCGGCAGCAGACACTTGAAATAATAAAGGTTCCCTAAGTTTCTGTGATAAAGAAATAGAAAAGAATTATGCAAGTACTTAATTACTGCTAAAACTTATCGACTAACGCCTGTTTGGCTATTTAGGTCAAAGCTGAGTCGAATAAGCGATTCTAGCAACCGATTCTTACCTCACAGAAATCTGCATGTAAAGAACATTGATGCTTTTCTTATATGGAACGTTTTCTTGGTTTTAGGGTGGGAAAGAGGTCAAAAGCATTTTCTCTCCCAGAAGTGTTGGCATTTGCTCGTTTTCGTTTGACTGTTGTATTCCTCTCTTTGCTTAGCAATGTTTGAATCTGCTGAAAGGAGTCCCGGTAAGATACAGGGAGACCAGATGGCAATTTTTGGTTTCTTATCCGTTGCAACTGACAGGACAAATGGTCCATGGCTCAGTTGATAAGACGTTAAGCTTAATAACATTCGACGGCTAGTAGCGCAGGTTGGGGATTCAGGCGTGGCAAAACCTAGGTTTGGATAAGGCTGACTGACGATGGCTAACAAGCCATAAATGACCATCCCGGTCTCTGTCTTTGTCGGGTCTCTTCTCAGCATATATTCCTGGTAGCTGTGCGACTGCCTGTGAGGGCTTTACACTGAGCCTTGAGGCACAAAGGGACTAGCGTGTTCCGTAACCCGATCGCTTAACGCACTTCCAACGTGCGTTCTGACCTGTAATCCAGAGGCCGTTTCTATCTGTAACGAATGTAACTTTATCTAATGCCTTTTGATTCTCCAGTCATCCCTGTTTGGATGTCCCTACTGCTAATGGAAACAACCTTGTTTTTGAGTAAAGTTAAAGTATTTACTTGCCTCCACTTCTGAGCTTTTTCATTCCAAATGCAAGTGATCTGTAAGAAATTATTCATCGGTGAAGGCGACTCTCCAGTCTGTAACTGCTTCATTTGTTGCTTGTTAAATAAAGAGATTGTCCCTTTGTGGAGACATGTAAATGATGTTGCTAAAAATAAAATTGCGCTATTTGGCATAATTTAAAACTAAAAGTCAGGTTGCCTGAAAGTGTAACTATTCTGGGTAGATTAGTGATCATTTAATTTTTGTCAATGGGCACCGACTGTTAAATCAAAGACTACACTTGGATGAAGATATCTGATGACTGACTGAACAAGGATGTAAGCGGGGGTATTATATCGGTGACCAAAACTTATGGAATAATCAACAGCAGCAGAAACCTTTTCACTGGAGTTATTTGACTATCTCTTCGCGTGTAAAGACCGTTAAAGGTGCTATCTCGTTTGCTGAAAAAAATAGATGGACGAAAAGAAGAAAGAATCTCGTAGAAATCAAAACAATAGTCGTCATGGAAATGTAAGACTGTCAGTAGTTTGTGAATGAGACCTATTCAAATCAATCACCTTGCAATTGTCTCGCGTTGGTTAGTGTTGTTGTCTCTTGTGATGTCAGATATTCCCCAAGAAAGTGGGAAGACAATTGTTCGTTTTTTTTACTGAATTCGAGCGCATAATAAGAATTTGTCTTTAAAAAAACCGAACGGTACTAAAAGCACATATTAAGTTTACATTTGTACACAAGAGACAGACTTTTACTTCCTAAAGTAGCGGCAATAAGGTACTATGCTCAAACACGGTTGCAAAATTAGTGTTAGTTTAGTGTTTCGAAAGTCAGAAAATGATAGCGGCCGGGGAACACTAGGAACCTGTATTCCCCTAAGCTTACATCAAATTCACTGGTTGTCTAGGACAATTACCCAAGGCTCATCTTTTTTGTGGTAAGACTAATTCCAACTCTGTCTTCTAAAGTACAAAATGTTTTGGCCTGGAATTTCTGTCTTTTTTAATTCGCGCAGATGGTTTATAGATTGTACTTGTAGCCAAATAACCGCTAGTCTCTCCCATTTAACTGTATAATATGGCTGTTTTCGTATAAACTGCAGTAACTCGAGTTTTACTTTGCTTATTTTTAAAGTCAAGAAAAGAATCGTATGTCACCTTAAGAACATAAGAAACAATCCTGTGCGCACAAAGGGACCTTGTGCAGACTTGACTGTATGCAATTAGCTGCACGCTTGGAACTATATTGATCGAGCAAAAACGGTACACACAAAAAACGGAAAAGCAATGGGCATTTCGAACTTTTCGGTCGTCGCCAACCAGCCAGGTTCGGATTCCAGTTTAGGATAACCTGGGGACCAAATCTGGACTCTTCGTTTTGGAAGCATCAAGTCAAACACTCTGCCATTCAATCATGGCGTTCAGTGTCCTGCCGCTTGCTGCCGTAATTAATAGTTAAGACGAAAGTGTTCTTCATTTATATCATTAAAGTGCAAAACAGATAACCCTGTTTACGTTTAAAGCAGACCAGTCTACTCCCTCTTATCTTTGCCGGTGCCTCTCCTAAAACTTTACCTGTCGATAGGCGATCGTTTGTGAGGACTGTAGACTGAAACTACAAGCCACATCGGTGAACATTACTCATACCACAGGCAAGTTAATCGGTTACCGTTATCCTCTCATCCCAGCCACCTTAAAGTGACGCAAGTAAAAATAGTCGAATGAATCTGAACATCTACTGAAGGATAAGACAACATGTTCGGTGTGCCTTCAGAAAAGGAAAGAGTCAGTATACACTGCTCCGCTCTTAGGCACGTTGTACGCACTGAAGTCAAGAAAGCCTCCGAGGCAGCCTGCTGGGCGCCGGTGAGCCTTCACAGGTCGTTGCGTGGACATCCAGCCTTTTTCAAATATATTTTTACAAAGCAATGTAAAGAAGTTGTTCCACCTGGCACGCCTCTTCATATCTAGTAATCCTATTGGATCCAATAACTTCGTCTCTGAGGGGATATAATCTTCGAATTCACAACTCATTTATATTGGAATCATGTGAGTATTGTTCCTCATGAGGTTTCTGAGGCAAGCACGCCATGATACTATCCGTTGACTCTTAATTATAACTTTATAGCGTCTGATTTAATACTGACATTGTGACTTAATGGAAAGTAAGCGTTCGGCGCAGTTCTGTATTGATTACACCCGTGTAATTGAGATAATTACAAAATTCTCTCGGAATATTCAAATAACTTATGACAATGTGTCATCCATTACGGTAGTTATCATAGCAAATAACGCAAAATTTTACATACCTTCACAGTGCGTTTGAATATTTGGAGCGAAACCGCCCTCATCCCCAACATTGCAAGCGTCTAGTCCGTAGTGGCTTCTGATGACGTTTTTCAGGTGATGATAGACTTCAGTGGCCATTTTCATAGCTTCTGTGAACGATTTAGCGCCAGTCGGGAGAATCATCAATTCTTGCATGGCAAGCTTGTTGCCCGCATGGCGACCACCGTTTATGACATTAAACGCCGGCACAGGAAGAGAAACCTCCTTGTTGCCTGCGAGGTTGCCGATGTGTCTGAATAATGGCACGCCCTGTGGAGTTGAGATTTGAAGTTTAGTATGTGTTTCCCCACTTTAGTTGTAAACTACAGATACAGCAGTAGTAGTTTGAGGTAACATATGTAATGTACAGTCAGTGACCGATCCAAGAAAATATTAACAGAAACGTTGAGATGCGTATCCGATTAGGAAATTCTTCTTAAGCATGGTCGTAGTGTTCATTATCTTGCAGTCTAATGTCGTGATATTTCAGGTATTTCGGGATGTTGGCTTTTAAATACTCCTCTTTTCGGCCACCTGTAATGACTGCACTCGGTAATAGATGGCTACTTATATAATGAACACTTTTTCTTTTTTCCAAATATAATTTGCGAAAATCATGCATGAAAATATTCTTTATTGTGTTCATTTGGTGACAAATCGAGTCTTCTTCATGAGGACAATGAATAAACGGACAGACGCAATATCATTTGAATGGACATAATATGGTCTAGAAAAGTTTCACAATTACTAACTTCCTAAAAAACCAAAAACATCGTTGTTTCGACTATATAACTGGGAGAGGACGTAATGTCCTACCAAATGGGTATAAGAAATACTATTTTCATGTATGTTTTTCATAGAGTATATTTAAATTTATCAGGACATCGAAATTAACAAAAAGGTCCACTATTTAAGTGGTAATTTTTCACCAAGTGCAGCATTTGCAGGCGGTCGGAAAGGAGTACGTTTAAAAGTTAACATCCTGGTGCACTTGAAATATTGCAGCATTATACCGCATGCTCATCGATATTACAACTCTACCTAACTAATCTTTCCCAATTAAAAACGCAGTACACAGTTCTGAACAAAATTTCATGAGATCGATCATTGACTGTACGCTCTCGTGTCGCTTGTACTGCGCACAGTGCTTTATTGCGTTAGTCTCCTGATGCTATATGGTCTGTCTATTCGTTGAAAAAGCTATTTACTAGACGCTGACCTGCTCTTAAAAAATAACTACTTGGTTCTCTCAAAGTTACATGCATTTCGGACACTTTTGCGGCATTTTAAATTAGTTGCAGACAACTACACATTCAGTGACAAAATCTTCTGGGCACGTTAGCAGTTTACCACATATGAATATGCACATGCCTTTTCTATCTACCGCGACCTGACCTTGTTTCCCTTTGCACTTGTTACTTTTGTTAGTCTTTCAGTGTTACACCCTTAAAAATCCATTTGACCCAGTTATGAATAGCTCGGCGACTTTGGCGCAATTCGAACCCGTCACAGCAATGGCAGGGCTTGGGTACAGTCAACGATCTGGCCCCGTGAGTAACGGGGTCCTGACCGGGAATAGTAAGTTTAATTGCATTTGGGTCGCGTATCCCGCCCAACCTACTAAAACGTACGGAATCCACTAAATCTTATGCAGCAAACCGACTTTTCAGGCAGAATTTCCTAAGCAATCAATCCGGAGTCCATCAGATGACTGCCAAGCTTAATAGTCATTTGGGGCATCAAAACCTCAGGTCAGAGTCCTTACAACGGAATAACCCAGTGACTAAATTGCAGATGAGATTACTTGGAGTTCAGCTTCGCAGTCGCCATGAGCATCAGACACAGGAATACTAAAATTAAAATCCCAAATTTTGTCAAATTATTTATAAATCAATTTGACACTAGCGCTGTGAGCTTAGATGTGATATCATTTGGGAAAATCAGTTTGTATCTAGACACGCAGACCAGTTAGTAAGTTGTCTAATTGCTTTATAAGTGGATAGGCCTTTGACATATCGAGTTTGTATTCATTCTTTATAACATAATGAAACACAATGGAATGTTTTAATTGTGCGTGGAAAACGTTTATTGCCTAACTGATCCTTAGTTCAGCATTGCACAAATCTGGAAGGTAGACATTCGTGCTATGCGGACCGGAAGAATGGAGCGCTAATTTTTGCAATGAAATTTACTTATTTGTAGGTGTTGCCCCCTAGTTAACTTCTGATAGTAAATCTACAAAATATAAAACGAAAAGCGAAAAAACTAGTTCCGAAAAATTTGGCAAGTTTTAAAACATGAATCGACCTGTGAGCCCTCATGTACATCGAATTCGCGCTATTTACGCTGTTTGACTCTGGTACGTTCCGTTTTTTTCCCTTTTTCGATTCACAACCGGGTTATTGCAGACAATTGGGCTTGTAAACGCAATGAAACTTTAGACATAAACATGCGTGAATCTCAGGGTGATTCCGTTAGAACAGAAGCCGGCGTGTATAAAAAAATAACTGTTGATTAAACATCAGACGCGATATGGAGACGCTTGAAGAGACAGATACTGCCTTCCGTAAGTGTGTTTTTGATACAGTGAGAGTTTGACATGGCGCACATTACCCTAACCAAGAAATATGTCCATGGGCTCTTCGTCCACTATGAGTATAACCCGATATTTGGCCGACGCTAATGAACAAGATTCTGAAGAGATCCCATTCATCAGTTAGGTAGTCGATTAAGGATTCTCGTATATCACTCCTTCCTACTATTCTTGAAAACTTTTCTAACCCGCCTTCAGGGTTGCCAAAACTGGAACTGCCCTCAGTTTTCCTAGTATTTTACAGTTTTTAAAAATAAGAACAAAGGACTGCTTCCGTTATTTTATTGAGAAGGACAAAACGTGGGTCTACAGATGTGAGGAAAGTTCGTCGCTGGCTATTGAGGACCCAATAATTTTCGGTAATTTATTCCAGCTTTTTAACAAGCTTTACCGGAAGCTCTCCTTATTACTTCATTAAACAGTAGATTCAAAGCTTTACTTACACTTTCTGCTGCACCGGCTTTGCAGACGGCTATGGAAACTCCCACAATCGCGTTGGCGCCAAGTTTACCTGGAGGGTGGCAATGCAATTTTTCAGTTCAACATATTTCAGAACTAAGTAAGATGAAGATGAGTGCATCCATGCATCAGACAAACTAGTTTTAATTCCATATAGTTACAAATCACCATCAAAGTGAAACTAATTAATGATGCAGAATATGAACTTATTTCAAATTCAAAAAGATGCAGACAAAACAACTGTCCCTAATTCTGTATTTGAAATCCCGTCTTTTGGTAATTTTTTATACATCCTGATTTTGCCCTGCACACAAATTTGCGAAAACTTATTATATGTATTTTCTTACGGAAATGTTAGCAAGCCTACACTTATTCTATGTATATTCCCGATCGAAACCGACAGGACAACAGGCCCGTTGCCCAGATGTTAGAGGCGTGGACTTCTAACTAACAGGTCGCGAGTTCAAACCCCAGGCGTTCCACACTTCGGGGTTGGGTATGACCGGCTGGCGACAGCTACTAAGCCACAAATGATCATTCCAGTATCCCTTGTCTTTGTCGTTAATGGCATTTTACCTATATCCTGCGCCCCTCTACCAAACTTGAAATTGTTGACAAGTACTTCCAGTAGGACTGCAATCATAGCCGCACGCTGGAAAAAGCGCATCTAACCGGTAGAATGACGGCGCCGCTGGAGAATGACTTTTCAGACATTATTCTGGCCTAAAATCCGAGTAACAATGAAGAGTTCGCGCTTTTTTCCTGCGATTTTGCTTCCATTGTCACGTTTCGAGCGAGGTTTGGTACTATAACTTCTGATCCAATCGCCTAGGACGTAAATTGATTCAAAAATTGGAAATATTGTACCCAAATGTCAGTCCTTGCCAGACAGTAAGAACTATGGGAATAACAGTGGCTTCCGCGCCGTTGAGTGAGTTCATTCAAAAAGTAACAAATAGCCTCTGGAGCGCTTTTGAGCAGCTAAAATAGATTAGATCATTTGGTTTTTATTTACAAAAAGACACGTTTTCAATTGTGGGAGATAAACCAGACCATTTACGCCACATAGCACGGACAATATTTTGTGAAGAAAACTTGCCTCTTTTGGATTCCTGTAAGGATTTTACACACAAACATTTTTCTTAATTTTAAGAAACCTTTTTCTTACATTAGAGCACCTCCGAAATATATCTAAAATGTGTCTTAGAAACCAGTAAATCCACGTAATTTTAAAAGCATTCCGTTATTTGTTACCAGTGTCATAAGTTCCTAAACCTTTACACACATTTTAAATTCTTTAGTTTTCCTGGCATCCTGTTTTTCGCCCCTAAAAGTCGCCCGCACTAAGAATAATTCAAACAAAACATGCAGACTTTCGTGAATGCATTTAAACCATGTAACTGCGAAATTGTCCAAGTAGTAAAAAGTTGACGACTGATGACGGTTTAATTGTTAGACTGACCAAGACACTTACACTTGTTTTCGGTTCCGTCCAGGGCCTTTGTCATAAGCTCATCAATCTCTGCCTGATGAGTTACAGTCAGATTTTGTTTTGTCAGAGCGGGTGCAATGATTCTGTTGACATTAGAAACTGCCCTCGACACTCCTTTGCCCATGTATGCATTTGGGTCGTCGTCGCGGAGCTCAACTGCCTCAAAGATGCCAGTAGAGGCCCCACTGGGAACAGCCGCCCGAAATAAACCTGGGAAATTTGAATGCCAGCACAGATGGAACCTTAGCCAGACTTCAGGCTCCGTGGCAAATCGAAAGCAAAAGGCAGCAAGCCATGTTTAACTTAACTGCCTAGATTTCATAAAAGCAAAAATTCGGGTTCTAAAACCAGAGACCCTTGGGAAGATCACCAACGTAACTATCGAATTTTAAGCTTAAAACCGCTAGATGTCAGCGAAAAAAACATTATTTGCAATCACAACAATGGACAGGTATCATGTACTCTAAAGGATTTAGAAAACTTAACTTTCAGTAAAAATGCAAGCTGGTCAGAGTAACTTCGTTAATAAAGTAAGAAGCCTAAACAGGGAAGATTTATTTGAGGTTTGATATTTCCGGTGAAAATTTCGGCCACCCATCATGAAGAGTCCTGTGCACAGTTGTCGTTATACGATGCATTTCCTCTGATGCGTACGTCTCCAATATAAACTGTGCGACTGATTCCCGTTTCACCGTGACCTGTATCGGCCCATCGTCACTGGTCCTGACGATGATTGACAACCTTTCTTGTTGCACAGTCTCGCTGTCAGTCGTCAAGAGGACTCGTAGAACCAGGTAGAGGGAAGCAACTGTATGTAACGGTTGACTGAACAGTCAGTATACACCCAGGTCCACTACACCTGTCTCAATGTGTGATCATCGTCTAAGTTCGCAACCTCAACGGCGCAGCAGGGGTTGCTATCTTCGACGTCGGATCCAACCTCAAACGGCCAACTGATACTCTTGCACTCGCGTTTGCAGCCATCAGCAGGTTTCTCCGACACGAAAGCACTTTTCGCAGTTGCACTGAAGATGGAATGGAGAGGTCGACTTCTTCTAGACAGAAGTGGGGTCTTCTGTTCACGTTACTTTCTGGCGAATTGTTAAACAACTCCTATTTCGAACAATACGAGAGGTCTAACCGCGACCTCGGAGATCCCCTTCATGTATGGAACGCTTCATCCTGATTTTCATCGAATCTCTGTCAGGACACCCCTGTGCTTGATACGTTAAACTTACGATAAGATTGATGGCTATCCCACAGCCTAGGATTTGACAGAGCTGACGGGTCACCACCACATGACTTTTCTTAACTTCAAATGGATCGCATATGACCAGAACCAGGACGTCCTAACTGACCCACCAATTTCCGGGTCCATCGTTTAAGCTGTTGTCCAAAAACGCGAATGCAAGCTGTTTGTGGAGTACAAACAGAAAATGGTCGCATGTGGTTTGGTAGCCCCAGCTGAAGTAAACAGGATTCTTCATGATGGGTGGCCGACATTTTCACCGGAAATATCAAACCTCAAATAAATCTTCCCTGTGTGTGCCCGTTTCTTTTAGCGTACAACCTGGAAATCGCATTTTCACTGCTTATGAGATTCATTCTTATTCTTTCCGGGGGAGGCTAAAATTAACCTCCTGTATTAGGTGGTTTTTGCTGCCAAGGTAACTAATTCTAAAATACCAGAAGCGGGTTTTTTGGTTGCATTACAGACTTGGGGTTGATCTGATTGCACTCGCGTCTTTCTCCCCATGTTTATGGCAGTGTTACAGTGTGCCATGTTTTATTTTGTTTTTATATTTTTAAGTGTCCAGATAACTGTTATGGAACATTTGGTAAATATTTCTTTATACAACATGAGGTCTCGTAACTTACCTTTCTCCGTCACTAAATCTACTTCGACGGTTGGATTCCCACGACTGTCAAATATCTGCCGGGCATGTATGCTATTTATTGCCATCGAATCTGTGACAAAAATCGAAAATAGCTGCATTGACATACGTTTTTTAATCGAGTATACAATTTTAAATGGCCCAGTTAGGACTGAATACACTTAGTTTAAAATGGTCCCTTTTTAAAAAAAAATATCTAGGGCAAAGGTCGTCTTCGTGAGAGAAGGGGTCATTCATGTCACCTTTGTTTTTTTCGACTTTCAGTTTGCTGTCCCTTTCTTCTTTTAGCTTCGAGAAAACCCGAAAGTTGTTCGTGAAGTACTAGGCGATGCCGTCCTTCTTGATTCTTGGACAAGCCATGGGTCTTTTTATTGCATTTTTAAAAAACTTCCTCAATTGAAGACAACAGACTTGAAATGAAATTTATGTAAATATAGTTGTCTGCTACAGTATCTTCTAAAAGAAACGATTTTAATCCAGTTTTGATGACGCAATTTTTTGTGAATCTGCAGGTTTTCGACACGCCTTTTGATCCGTCATAACCTGTTGCGTGTTCGCCAACTCATTTGAGGGACTCATATGTTTAAGGCCGCGTTTGACTAACCGATTTCTTTCTTTGGGCAGCATCTCTATTTCGGCTAAAGAACGTGAAGCGACATAAATATTGCGCAATGATAGTGATCTATTCCAGCTGTTCATTGCGCCGCTTTTTAGTGATACATGAGACCCAAATACTCCATTGGTTCTTGCCTGTTAATCCGGTCTATTTTTATAGATTATAATTTAAGTTAGCTGAACCTTTGCTTGTGAAAACCCACAATAGCTGAGGCGTGGGTTAAATACGGACGTCGATTTAACCACTTGGGATACGAGGCTGCACTCGAGCGCCTCAAGTTTTTTTCATTTAAAAAAAATTATCCGTCTGACTTATTGCAACGTATGAAATCAAAAAACCTGATATAATGGGCTGACTGCCCAAGCTGTCGTTATTTGAATCCCATCCAGGTTCCCGAATTTTTAATTAATGGGTTTTAAGGAGAATCGTCCACGTCTTCCAAAACGCAAAGAGTTGAATTAGCTAAACAATTGTCATTTTCATAAAGTCTATTAGCTTGTGGGGTATTGACCCGACAATTAAATATAGGCTTTGCGCATTTGGTATGCAAGGTGTAAGTCGACCATGCTCGGGTCGAAATTTCGTGTCCCGATAATAGAAACTGCTCTTGGAACATGTCCTTATCCTCTTACTAGTTGAACACACAGTCAGTGAACTTCACCAAAGCCTGCACCAAAGTCTCCTGGTATTATATGCATTGAATCACTTGAAAAGGCCGAAGTTCAACAAAGCTCCCCAGAGGTGTCTGGCAAGCAGACCTGCAGACCAGGTTTTTCGTTAGTCCTCAGCGGCAAGTCCATAATCATAAAAGGTAAACCTTGGTCGGTCGTTAAATAAAATGATTTTCTTTGAATCAACATTTTCTTAGAAATACTAAAACCAGAGGTCCCATCCGAAGACCTATTTAGGCTTAGGACTTAATCATATTGGGCTTAGTCGAAGTTAAACAAACCAAGCGGACGATCGCAAGTTGTTGTTTTCCGTACATATGGTAAAAATCACTGACAGTGTCGATGTTTCTTATTTTCAGGGATGATGAAGCTGAACAACAAGCGAGAGATTTTTGCAGTAGTAGTAATATTTCGAAGCCTCTGTCGGATGCACTTAATCTAGTTCCCCCTTTAAAAGTGTTTAAACTTGAGTACATCAGAATCTAAATAGATAATTTGGATTTGAAGCTGTTTTGAGAAAAGTGAAACTATAAATGCTTCAAAGGCAGGATTTACCCCCAAAATATCATTCTTGTGCACACCAAAGACTGGCCGTCGAAGGCAGGGGTGATCAATAGGTCAGAAGATAACACGTTTTCTCAAAGGCGTGATTAAACAGTATCTGACGGATTCGAACCGACTATGACTTGGTCCATTTCGAGCGCTATTCCGGTATATTTTAGATGTTGCTAGTCGAGAGATTTCAAAGACGTTTTCAGCGGCGCGCGAGGTGATGGTCAGTTGGTCGAGTTTGTTGTGTTAATGCTGATTCGCGACGATAAAGAAGGTCGCATACGTTTAAACATCCTGTTTTTGAGTATAAAGATTCTCATCGGTGCTTATTTCTCGCACGACTTAAACTTCTGCCATGCAGAACAACATATGCAATGACAGACACCGTGTTATCACCTAACAATCCACGTCCATTCACTTATTCCTCCTTTCGCCTAGCTAATATATCAACCCGACTTCGAATAAAATGCCTCAAAATCAGTATACGCAACGCCGAGAACTACAGTATCTCTCTCCTCATCCCCTCTATGATCACATATTTGTGCGAATAAAAACTGAAAATGACTTCTGTTAATTTTACATCATCGATTTTTCCACATCCATCATTGTAAAGCCTTTCCGTGTAGCAAGTCTAACAATATGAATTGTAAACTAATTTTCATTAAGTTATTTCTTCATTTAAAAACGCATTTTTTGATAAATATTGCACGATATTTATCTTGCTAACGGTGATTTTTCCTGTAGATTTAATCGGTATATTCAACATACAACAGGTAAAAAAAATTTGGCACCCTGATAGGAGGTATTTTTCCACTTTTTGTTTCACGTTTTGGCCTTAACCAACCCTCAACATATCTGCGTATGCGGTATATACCCACGGTCTCAATAGCTGTCATACTGTACGCCGGCAAAATTCTCTCCGTCGGTATTTTGTTGCTTCATCCATATGGCCCTAACGGGTCTACGTCAGGAGACGTCCACTGTTTTGTTGAAGCAGAACTTTTTAAAGGATTCAGCGAACTGGTTGAAAAATTGGTTATTTGTAGCTTGTGACAAAATATGACAAATTTGCTTGAAGTATTCATGCTTTAATTTAAATACCACTTAGTCGGACGCTTGTGTGAAGAGCGTTGTACTATCAGGTTTATTTTGCTCTCAAAAGGCGTATGTGCTTTTCTTATCATTTCGATCAGAGCATTTGTTACGGTGCTCATCAATTCAACATAAAATTTCATCCGTTGGCGTCTTTGCCGACGCCAGGAAAGCGGTCTTACATACAATGAGACCCTTGCACAAGCGTTTATAATGCAAGTACAAATCAAGCGCCAAGCAAACAGAACTGCGGGTGGAAACTCTAGAGGAGGTCTATACCCTCGGCGATAATTCATATCGCTACCAACTGGTATGTTACGTAACGACACTGTATATTACGTACTTGTCTACTCTTGGCGGAGACACGGTTGTGTCTGTCGTTGACAGATTTTAAAATGTTACGTATCATTCCGCTTCATTCATCTTACTCGGACAGTGCCTAATGTCATTACATGTTTCCCTTGCAGCTTTGCGTCATCCAGATGGCGAAAATGTGCCACCAACGCAGTCATAAATTCAACTTTCGTACATTTTACAAGTTTTATATTTCTATGGATTTCTTTGCATCTGACATAAAGACTTTTTCTTGTGCTGCAAAAATGTTCAAAGCTATAAGTATACAGGGCGGTAAGCGGCGAAACCTGGATGTGGGATCTGGGAGTCGCTTATAACGGATATAAGTAGGCTGCCGTTTGGTTGAAATTTTAAGTCACGAAAAAGCGGAGCCGAATCGCCACCATTTCGCTTGACAAACGCGTATTCGATTCGCGTCCGGCCGATCGAAAATGAGGGTGTGAATAGCTTGCAATTCAGCTCTTATTTGTAGCTCATTGCTATTACCCTAATAGCAATGACTTGCGAATCGAGACTCCCTGCTCGCATCCCGCGCGCAACTGGCCTCTGACTGGTTGACTGTAGTTGTAGCAGTAAATGTCCCACGGCCGCGCAGGAGAAGTGTACGCTAATATGCTATCGATTTTTATAGATATGACGGCGTCCCTGCTTTCGCCCGTTTGTACCAGGGTGTCATTTCCTACCTTGCCGCACTGCTGAGCGCACGCATTGCTGCCCTGTTAGCTCATACTTTTCTATTATGTTTAAAGCAGTATCTTGGAGAACTTAACGTAGGCGTGTCGAGAGAGTTCAGGAATCGTATACGTGAAATTGCCGAGAAATTGAGGGGAAAGGACTCACTTAAGTCATCATCATTGTCGAGGTGTTTATCCACCTACACTTAGTCAATAGAGGACCGCCGAGGATACATCGACCTCGATAAATGGACAGTGGCGCAGTTATTTTTAAGAGCGTCCGATGACCTTCCCAAATGAGGTGAATGTAACCGTGCGCGACCTTCTGCGAGCCTGGGCAGTTCGTTCATGAATACCCCACCAGCGCTTGATAAATCTGCTTAAGATTTTGGGGCAGATGAAGCCATCCGACGCGTCAGACATGCTTCGGGCTCATGAACGCTTCTGGACGGAGAGGGCAATGGGCCACCGGTAACGGCATTGGACAGCGGTGAGTACTTTTACACAGGACAAGTAGAGCAGTTGACTGGACAGTTATTTGCCTCTCCCATGCAAGTGGTAGCTGATAAGATAGTAGCGTATTTAGCCATTAACGGTTTTCCTATTCGTAAAAAGACCAAAAGAGAATTTTAGGCAATTTTAGGCAGAATTATGCAGCCTATAGTGTGTAACCGCACCCTAGGGATGGCCAAGCATTACCTGTTTGGATAGTTCTATGCAAAAATTGCTTAAAAATGTGTTGACGCATAATACTTTAGAAAAAAGATAGATATGAAGTCAGTGCTAAGCTTTAAAGTGTCAGTTGCTTAGGCCTGAGAAACTAGATCGACTAAGTGTTGTATCCAGTTGATCAACGCTTGGAATTCTCCACAACCTCCTTACAAGTGCTTTCACGTCTAGCCTTTGTTAACATTCTCCTTCCTTCTCTTTGTAACTCTCATTTGACCATGATCGGCGTTGTTCTAATCAACTAGTATTTGTATTCTGAACTTAAGTTTGAATTCCTAGGTCAATTGGCGTAGGAATTCAAATTGCTCGAAATTATTTGTCTGGGGTGCCAATTGTTGATGTTTGTATGGTTTTTATTATTACCTTATTCTATCAATAGT